GTGAAATGGTTTTAGCTTTTCCAAACTGATTCGGAGGCATCCCGGTGATGCGCGTTCCTCAAGACAGGAGACAGCCATCCAAAGGCAAAGGAAAGTGTGTCAAGCAAAAGCCCTGCTAGATTTTAGTGTACCGATTCTAAAAAGACTGGATATTTTATATTTAAACATATTTCTTTACAAAGATTATGGAGTTTACCTCTCCAAAAACGTGTACTTTATTTAATGACTTTAAGAGTTTCCGTAATCAATCCTCCTCCCCGATGATTAGCTATCGCTTGAGTTTTATTGCGTATAGGGCACGTGTGCCGGTTTGGCATTACCGGAAGCCTGTCCTCCACTCTCATTAAATTCCTAAGTCGATTTCAGCTTTAAGTCGCTGTCGAACTCTCGATTTATGTACTCTGATAAGATAGCATATGATGAGGCGCAGACTGGTGGAAAACTGGGGTCAGCGCTCGATTTTCATTCTCATTTTATTCGCCCCAGTTCGATGGGCTACTACTCTGAGCAATTGCAGCCGTCTGAGACAGATTTGGCTGTGCTTATTTGTACAATAGCCTCGGCGTTTTGTCTTAAAGACCGCAGTTGGCTGGGGCCCCCGGATCCGTCCACTGAAGCACACAAAAGCCGCAGCCCACACGCACAGACACAGACAGACTCAAACTCCCAGTCAATAAGTTAGCTCGTGGTCTGGAAGTGAGACTGGGGACTGCACTGTCATTCTGGTCGACCATGGTATTCAATTATGCAAAGAGCTGGCGAATGGCTACATGAAAATTATGTTTTTAATTTTTAAGCGAACAAAAACAATGAAAGGGAATACCGAAACGACAGCTACAAAAAAAGTGGACCGCCACGAGACGCATCAAACAACATTAAAAAGTCAGGAGTTTGTTGGAGAAGGCAACGCCGACCCACCAATCACAGAGACAGAGGGTCCTCACATACAAATGTTCAGGGGAAAACACAGAAAACATAGAAGGATGAACAATGGGTGGAATTATAGAGAGACGTGGTTAAAATTTTGTGGTTTAAATAAGACTAGAAAACTGAAAAATTTAGATTAACTCGGAGAACAAAAGCATTCCTAGGAAAAAACATTTCCATCGAAAAGAAAACACAGAAAATATTCCCTGAAATGTTCGCACAGAAAGATAAACATATCTCTGGAAGAGATCTTTCAAAACATTTCAATCAGAGTTTATGTGCAAATTAACCATGTAATAAATGAAAATAAAAACTAACACATAACGAAAGCACTTTCTTGACTTCTAGAATTTGTACAACTTACAACTCAATAATGTTTGATAAAGTAGTTTTACAAAACTCTTTTGTACTACGCCTTTGCGGGGCTTACCAAGATTTAAGCTGAACAAACTCACAAAGACGTGCCCCATTGTATGGAAACCATTTCGCTGGCCAGCTAACCAGCATCAGCTGGCTCTTAAGTGCCCAGGACATTGGCCAGGGAGGGCATTGTTTGGCTGAAGCCAGGACTCTGCAGAGGAAGGACCAAAGCGGCACATAATCAAGAGGGTTTTGGGAGGGTCCAGGTTCAGCCAGAAGCCGCCGTCGGGTAACGCACTAAATCGGATTAGAGCAGAATTATCCTTGTTGGCATTTATTTTGGTTGTGAGCGCACATAAATACATACATACATATATATATATATGTATATAGAGGGAGATATATACTATATATATTCACAGTAGGAGCTTGGAGCAACTTGTATGCTGGCCACTCACCTACACTCCACTGAACCCTTGTGCCCCACAGACTTCCAAAAAGAGAAATAAAAAACGAGGGAAAATAAAAATAATGTCAACTTCCGTTTTGCTTAGCCAACTTTTGACGCCATCGTCTGTTGTATTTCTGCTGTTTTAACTTTCTTTGTTTTCCCTTCTTTCTTTTCTTTTTACTTTGAATTGCAAATCTTTCTCTTCCTTATTTTCGGCTGTTTTACTTTTTATTTTCATTTCATTGTGGGGCATAATGAGGCGCAAGTGGTATGGCATGGCATGCGTGCCCCATTGTCATTGGGAGCCGCAGGCAGTCCTCAGTCCTCAGTCCTCAGCAGAGCGCTCGAGTACGAGAACTGGGACTTGAATTGTGGCAAGTACATTTCTCAATGCTGGTGCCACACGAACGCACGTCAGCCACGTAAATCTATTAACACCTCACGTCTGACTGAAAGATAAGCCGTATCGCGTCGCTGTTGCTGTGGCAGCCAGCGCCACTGTAGGAGTCGCAACCACAGGTATGCCATCGAAACGACGAAGGTGTCGAAGTGTGTGCGGTGAATGAAGCATTTTGGAAAGGGCGGCACGTAGTCGATGGAGGTCGAGTTTGTAGGCTTGTTTCAACCAAACCCAAAGCCAAGCCCCAAGGCCCCGATCCCACACCAGTAACCACATCAAAAGGCAATCGCAAGCACGCTTTCGTACAACTTTTTCAACTAATTTACATAGAGTTCTTGACGCCGTACCTACGTGACCATGCAATTTGCATTTGCCGGTGTCCTGCCTCCTGGCTCCTGGCTGCAACTTTTAAACCGAGCTCCCTCTACATCTGTGTACTCTCCGCGAGTACTGAGCTTATCTGAAGCTGCCTGAAAGTGCGTTTAAAATAAACACGAAGAAGGCTTCTTAGGAAGCTGACATCAGTTTAAGATTGATTAAGACGTATCTATTGTCGAACACGTTGGCTGGCCCTTAATGCCTTGGCACGTAGACTGCCTGGCAGGCCCTGAAGTATTTTAGCTTAGCCATTTTATGCAGCTGATGTAATGGGAATACATATAGAAGAGTATATAAGGATTACGTGGAACAATAAAAACGAAAAGAAAATGGTCGAATTTATTGAGGTGAGAATAATTTGATTCTTTGGGGAAAAAGGTGATTTAACCTCTTTAATAACATTTTTAAGCAAGCAACACCTATTTAGAATATATAAAATAAATAAATCAACCAATTTGAACAAAGCGTCTGAAACGGAATACCCTGAAAGTGCTCTGAAAGTGGTAACACCCATTCCCACCATCAAAATCCCCATGTTTTAATACTTACTCGTATACCCTTATATCGTGGCATGGGTTTTCGTGATAAAATCACATCTATAAACATTAATCGCTCTTTTATGAAGTATAATAAATTTTGCGTTACACGTTGGCCCGCAATTTAACGCTTTTCGCCCCAGAGAAGGGCTGCTGCTAACAGCAGTCTTTCCTCGATTTGTTCAAGGCTTAAAGGAAACGGAAAGTAAAGAGTAAAGAAAACCTTCTATGTTTTTGTTTCTCTAAAAATAGCTTTATTTATATTTGATTGGTACCCAGTTTTGTTTTTCGGTTTTTATTTGTTGCTAGTGTTTCTGTGTGAGTTTTCGCGTTGCTTCTCAATGGCATTTGGTTGCAAACAACAAGAACAAACATTTAGTAAATACATACAGATAATCCTTATATGAATATCATATAACAATCACGAGTTGTTGCTTTATTTGGTTTGATGGAATACTTAATTCAACGATCTAAGCAATATACATTCATATACAGATAAATAATTATCAATATCATAAACATTCTATCGAACTCTATCCTCTATAAAGACGTGTAAATTTGTTTGGTGTTTGATTTATGCCTACAATCGAATCGAATCAATAAATAAATATATATTATTATATTTTTTATACGTATGGAATTTCTCTGTACTCTGTTTTTTCTCGTAGTAGTTGAAGTAGGTATATATATGTTTGTATCCATTGTTGAGCTCAAACATTTTACAAACATTTGCCATGCACTTGTCTCATTGTGTTTCAGGGATTCTTACAGACTTTTACAATTCCATTGTCTGCTGCAGCGCGGTTTGCGATAGAGATTTTTGTTTTTCATTGGCCTGAAAATTGATTTATAATGCTGAAATCTGCCCAGCTCCCAGCAGTTCAGTTTATATCGTTCAATTAATTGGCATTAAGTATGCAGAACATACGGAACAAAAATGCACGTAAATTTTTAAAATCAAACCGAGTTTATCCGGTCTTTAAAAGCATATTTTAATTTGCAAAACAAAATATAATTGGTACTATTTTAATGCCTTCTCAATGCAACCGAACACACAATAAACACATAATTATTCATTTCGACCTTGCAATAAATTCATTTGCAACCGACTGCTGCATTTTATTATTTCAGGCAGCATTTCGTCGAGTCAGTTTAATGAAAATAACTGCGTTACATTTGCATGGGGAAGCGGGAAAGTCAGCTTAAATACATATATGGCGAATACCTGAAAAATGGAAAACGGAAAACGGAGGAAATTTGCTGTAAGTCCTCCACAAAACACTACTAATTGACCCATAATATTATTTCATTTTGTGACTACTTGAAAAAACGTGTTGCGATTATTTTGAACTTTTGCGGGAACCTAATTTTGTTTCATTTCAATTTACAAAAACTTTGTTGATTGAAATTTATTGTTTGCTTATTTATGTCTGTCCACGGGATTTGTGTTTTATTATATTTAATGGTATGAATATTTGATTGAATAAAATGGATTGTTCATCCTTTGTTTAGTTATATTTTCATTGGTCACATGTTGCTCGTTTGTTGTTGTTGTTTTTTTGTTTTTTGTTTGTTTTTTTAGGTACTGTGCTTTGAAAACCCTGAAATGATCAAACAGAAACCTAGAGACATTCCGAATAAAATTCTATTTGCTAAGGAGTATGTTTCAGTGTTTGATTTAACAAGACTGTGTTTTATTGCTTTTTTTTTAGCACGTGCCTGCCGAGGCTTTCAACTTAATTACGAAGGCTACATTCATATTCGTATGGAACTACAACCTAACTGCCTTGCTCCCAGCACCAAGTCCTGCCCGACCTCAGCCTCAGCCTAATCGTAATGTTAACTCAAGGATTTATGTATTTAGATAACTTTAGTATATGATAAATAATGTGTAAGTTTACAGTGACTGTCATTTACAGGCCTAAAAAGTCTTAACTGGCTTTATATGCTAATTGTATTCTCCATAAATGTTTGCTGAACTCTAATAGCTGAAATTCTCTATATATGAATATATCTATATCGTTTTTTTGTAATTCGTTTTACATTAATATTGTATATGCAGCATAATTAACTTTGATTATACACACGAAGATAAACATTGCGTCCTTTGCACTTCCTTTGATTATAGTACAATGCTAATTGGGTAACTCCTTCCTCTGATCCTTCTTTTATTTCTGGCTCACTTCTGAAACTTCTTCTGACTCTGTTTCTTCTCCTTCTAGAGGGTTGTACATCCTTTTGTAACATGTTCTATTGTTAAGTATTATATGGTATATATCTTAGTCTTAGCTTAGTAATTGATATAAGTAGAGTATGAGTGCGGCTGTGTTTTGGGAACCATTTCTGGAGCTTAAACACTGTCGGCCTGCTCTCAGAGATAGTTGGGCCTTGAGACGCAGCACAGTAGGCTCATGTTCTTGCAGATATAGTTTTGGCGCCTCTTGGCCTGCCAGGGTCCAGTGGTGTCCAGGGCTGCGTTCCTTTCTGCAAACAGCAAGTGAAAGAGTAGCCAGCATTTAGTTTGATTAATGAATGAGGCTGTGTGAGTCCCTGAATACAGAATACAACAGGACAAACGGAGAAACACATTTACACTAATGGCTGGGTCGCCATCGCCATCGCCGTCGCCGTCGACGTCCCCGCTTTGGCCTTTTTTGTATGCTATACAATTTTGTTTGCCCAACGGCCTCCGGTCTCGTCTCCGCTGAGTGTCACTACCGTCGGGCCTTGGCTAAATATCAAAGTGCACGACGATGGCAGTGCAACAGCAGCAGCAGCAGAAGTAACAGGGAGCCTGCGCATACGCGTACTCACCCAAATATGCCTCATGTTGTGGCATGTACTCCTGCAGTTCGGAGAGTAGAACGGCAATGTCCTGCGAGTCTTTTGTGATGCTGCACAATTCCTCCTCATTGAAGTCGGGCGTAAATTGTTTGCACAACAATATTTGGCTTATGACATTCCCCAGGTTCGAGGGCCCCGCGCGGTTCTCTGTGGTGCGATAAAGCAGGCATAAATCAGGATAAAGTGATAAGCTGTGAGGCATCCCACAGTCAAGTGGTTGCCGTACCCGTACCCTGCCCTGCTCTACACTACCACTACCCTGCTTCCTTGCAACTGCACCACACAAATACAAAGCCGGAACAGAGCAACGATGCCGCAAGTCGGGCTTCTATTCACAAATCTCCTTTGCAATGCAATAAAATGAATTATTTTGTTTGGCTTTTCCGCAGCCACAAACAAGAACTCGCATTTATTTGTTTCATTCATTTTTATGCAAACATTTTTCTTTGAGGTTTGCTTTTCATCCTCCTTTTTAACATTTATTTATTTGCGTTTGTTGCTTCATTAGATTTGTTCTCTGTTTGGGGTAAATATTTGTACATTTTGATGCTTGTTTCTCTGACTGTTTCAACCCTCAAAACTTATTTTGGCACCAACTTTTGGCTAATTTAATGGTCAAACAATTATGACTTTGATTTGATGGATTATAAAGATGTACAGATTTTATAACTTTACATATTTCAATTACAATGAATTAAACTTTTACTCGACAAAATATACACAATTCTCCATTTTTCGTCTTTGATTGATTGCTGCATATACAGCCATCAGTAGTCTCTCCGATCATATATCAATCTTCATGAAAAATCGATGAAAAGTATCAGTCACTTCAAAAACTATTGAGATTCAAACATCAATACACTGAAATCTATTCGATCAGACATGTTGTTGTATATGCAATATTCATATAACAAATAAAAATATATTGAATGCACGGGTTGACAATGGCAGCCTTCATTGCCTGATACTTTTGATACCCTGTACTGTTAGCAAACAAGTGTCTGTTGTATTCGTATAGATGTATAATATAAGACTGATTGATTGGTAGTTAGACCGACCTATTTTTCCTCCTGTTTTTCATTCGTTCCATAATTCAAGCCTATTATTAGGTATCAGCGAGTGCTCGCAATACCCTACAGTTGCCCCAGTTGTTGCCCGACTTAAGCACTGGAATGCAATGAATTTTTGCTGCCATGGCAATAATTAAAGGCCCACATAAAGGCACCCAGCCCCCTGCAGACTTTTCCCCACTGATTGTGAATATTTTTGTTGGCAATTACAAAAGAAAAACAGAGAAAAAAATTGTTTTCAATTTTTGAATTTTTTATAGCTTATTCTGCGGTGATGGCATTTGCCTGGCACTGCAGAAATTTTGTTTGTTGATGGGGATGGGGAGGAGATGGCCATAAATTCGCTGCACCAACAGGGCTAGCACCAACAGCCCCGAACCTGACTCTGGCAGAAACTCTGTAAATATTTATTCGCACTCTCGCACTCTCTCACCGTATTGACAGCGGGTATCCGGCCCCAGTGCAGCGGTTACAATTTAAAAATGTATGATCAGCAATTGGCATTTGCCATTCGCATTTGTATTGCCCGACAATTGGAGTTACCATGGTCAGAACGGACACAAATCAGTCAGAATCCGTGTCCACGTTCGAGTGCATATTTGCACTCGCACGTCCACATTAAACATGGCCAAAGAATGCCAATCAGAGCGAGTGGCACTCGAGTGGAATGCAACTTCACTGCCAAACAATTCTTGAACGTGTGCTCCTACGAGTTTCTGTTTGGTGAGTGGGCGATCGAACGAGTGAATGCATCCTTGAAAAATCCTAGGAAAAATCGAGCCCAACTAAAGAAAAATTAAGCATAAGAGCTTTCACAAAAGTGCAATATTGAAACATCAGTAATATCGAATACCAATAACTTCGAAATGGCAGTCAGTATTCAGTACTTATCAATTAACGTTTGTACATTTGACGGAAGCCTGTAAGACACGTTTTTGGTCACTAATTAAGTTAACCTTGCTCCTTTACTAGCTACTGGGATACGATAAATTGTAAACTAAACTGATTTCAAATGTTCGCAAGCATTCAACATCACTGAATCCAATTGGCAACGAAAGCACCCAGTTTGTACCAATTATGTAGCCCCAAACGCAACTCCAAGTGCCAGGGTCCTTGTCTGACTTTGACATTTGCTAACAACAGCAAATTTTCAATGACCCGCAACTGCAAGGCGACAGCTGAAACATGTCTCCTGCCAACTAGCAACCCAACCAAAACTCAACGCAAACCCCACCAGTCCCCAGTGCACCCCAGATGGGTGCCCCACCATGTAGGGCAAATCGTGCGTTGGTGCGGAATTAAACTTACCATAATAGCCCGACATATCCATTGGCACGACCTGTATGAGACGATAACTTTTCACAAGTTCACGTAGGAATAACTGGGCCATGTAGAACACTAGCACCAAGTGCGGGTTGTCGGTGAGTATGCCATCGGCCATGGCGCTGCAAAAAAACAATGGCAATGCAAGGTAATGTGAACATCAGGATTCTCTTTCGCTATATGTATATATTTATATACATATATATATATATATATATATATATATATATATATATACGAGTATGTATGTATGTATGTGTCTGTGAGTGTGTGTGTGTGTGGGTGTGGGATATTGCAGAACTGGAATGCCGCATTGTGTGGGCCACATTTGTGGCACGCCAAATTGCATGCGAAAATTGTAAAATGAAATTTATATGAATTTATGACATTTTTTATGTCGTGGGTGAGAGCTCAGCTCAGAACGAGGGTCATCAAGTGGCGACAAACTAATTCATTTCCGTTCGACTTTTAAATGATATTTTCGATTGTTTAATCTGCAGTTCAACTTTATGTTCTCGTGCAGGAATTACATTTTTCGAGCGATGGATTTTAAGCGATGGAAAATAAATAAGAGGACAACTACTGAAGCAAGAAGGATTCAGCTAAGACATAGTAATATTCCCCACCAATTTATTTAGCATTAAAGAAATTATAGCCCATATAGTGTTCCATTTTTCGCAATTTTTAACTGGGCGATGAGTACACTATAATTTTGTCTAATCTACGATCAACACCAGAAAGCAATTTCAAGTTTTACCTTCCTGAATAATTTATGCAATTGTACGAGCGGCATAACTCATTTGGAAAACACTCGGAATTTACAGTCGGTTCGCAAATTGCTGCTTAGTTGACATTAATTCCAGTTTTGGGAGCAGTACTGCCACGCAGACAGGGCAATTATGAGTGGGGTAGGTATCCAAAACTCAGGTCCAAGTGGTGGGGAATGGGACACAAATATAAATTGCCATAAACATATTTACAGCAACACAGGAATAAATTCAATTTGAAAATTACTTTTGCATTGCCTAAACTCTGTGGAGGTGGAGCGGGCGGTGCCGCATAGCTGGAAATGAGAAATATATATTTTACCAGAATTACCCGCCATCCCAACCGGCACTGAAAGTGTTGCCGTGTCCTCTGACTCCGCCCCCGACTCTGACCTCCTTCTGGCGGGCATTAAAGCAAATAAATTGCGAATTAATCTTTCCCAAGGTGTCTTGCGTGTGTGCGTGTGGGCGTGTGTATGGGTCCGTACATCTAAAAGTGTGGGAGAGTTTTTGTACAGGATTCAGCTTAAAGCGATTTAGATGTGGGTTCGATGGGCTCTCAAGCGGAAGTTGATTGGTGGTGGAGTAGGCTAAGCACAATCTTTATTTTGAGTGCGGCTTTTGTTCAGCAAAAAGTCTCCTATACGTGGGAAGCACAAATGCTGCTTAGCCTATTAGTATTATTAATAATTTCCTCAACAAATAAGTAAATACTTTTTGTTCCACCGAAAGAAAAAAATTACGCTTGCTTGGGTAAAATAATGATGCGGAATGCCAGACAAAGTAAATCTTTCGAATAATGTCAAAATATTCCTTCTAAATAGTAAAGACACTAAGACATTGCTATATTAAACGATACCATATATATTTGACCAAGCTAACAAAAAAGAAACACTTTCAAGATATTTAATATGCTTAAAATGTAATCAAATTAATGCTAAGCGATTTCCTGTGAAAAACTGCAAGCTGTAAATGCCAGAGAGCAAATGTTTTAATGATTTCTCCATCTCACTCTTACTTTGTGGAAGGGAGCATCTCTCGTTATTCTGGCAGATTGCGGTGCGCGGACATTAACGTGGGTCATTTTCACCAACAACACCAACAACGCCAACAATATCGCAATAATAAGTTGAAGCAACGAAACGAAATCTGCAAAGCATCCAAAAATCCCCCAGAAAAAATGAAGGCAAAGAGCGAAGGACAGAGAACAGAACAGAGGAAGGAAAAAAAGAAGGAAAATCGGGTACGGGCAGACCATTGTCAGCAGCTGGTCTTGATTACAGTCCGGACGTTACATTCATTTATTGCAAATAACAGTAAAATATTTTTTACTTTTTCCCCAATGCTAGACCCAAAGCGAAACGACCCAATGAAATTTGGGGAGAATTACACAAATATACGCAGGGGGAGGTTCATAAAGCGCTTTTATCAAAGTATCTCAATGCCGTTTGTCTGCCCAATCGAAGTTATTAACTGCAGCTTGTATAAAGTTGTTAAAATTGCCGCAATTTACGATGCTGTCCATCCAACAGCAGACATCCAAGGGAAAAAAAAATTCTAAAAATGAAAGTCTTCAGCTACGTCGAATCTGCGGACCTACTAGTAATTTCGAAACTTGACCCACTTCCAGGGGTGGTGTGCCGATGTGCCGGGAGCTCAGTCTTTCAATAATATTCTGTCATTTTCACTAACATGACCACAGCACATCATCCGGTGTCCCGGAACCGGCATCAAGTGTCGAAATAATAAACGGAATTTGCCGACAGCGACAATAAAACAATACAACAGAAGGAGCAGCAAAGCACCAAACCCAAGGACTATGGAATGGAATGGAAAATTGAGAAATTGGAGTAAAAGAAAGTATATCAGGGAAAGGTGGTTCCACAATCCTTTCTGCTGTCGTACTCTTAATAAAACTTAATCGGGTCCACCACTTCTTCTCCTATCTCTCACATTTATGCACATTTTTCCCGCTTCTGTCCCACTGAAGTGGTCGCAGCAGATGCAGGAAACATAAAATTTCCGACACATAGCCGCAGACAACGCCATCGACGAATTCTATGAGATTGGCTTTGGCTTTGATAGGGACCCGAGGGGCACACCCCTTGTCTTATGCTCTTCTCTCAGGCCGTAAGCAATTGTGTGCCGTGGGAGTGCCACCACTGCACTGAGACTAATGCCAAGTAAGGAGAACTCCGAGCAGACGTCCGAGTATTATTTACAGAGGAAATGCGCTTACACAAACATGACGTTGCATTGCCCAGCAGACGGGATTGCTTAGAGCCCAGAGACCAGACCCCAGACCCTGGCGATTTTGTTGACTAACTTGCTGTCAAAACAGCAGATCCAAGGCGAAGACAGTAGTTAAAACAGAGGCGACGGCAGCGATGGCGATAGTAATTTAGCAACAACTACCAACAGGACATAACTACAGGACAAACAGCAGAACAAATGCGAAGTAAGCGAAGGCAAATAGACAGATGGATAGATAACAGGAAGACAAACCCAAACACGGGAAATGGACCGAACGTCGCCTCCAAGGATATGTACGTACGGCTGGGCAAACAAACAACCAGGCAAACAACTATCAGTCACTTAAGGCAGTCGGCAAAGTGCTGCCACCCTCTCCAACCTCGGGAATGGAAATGGAACTGGAGGTGGATGGGGAAGTGGAAGTGGAAATGGGAATGGGAATGATTCGAGCAAAGCGAATGTCAGAGTGTCTCTTCCAAGGTAGTCGGAGCCGAGCCGAGTCGAGCTTTTTGCTCTGTCTTTCGCGCTCTCAAAGGGAAAGCCAAATCATTTGCTAGCGTGTGGTCCACCAGGTATTACAACTTTGTCATGATGTTTGACTAAGGAAACCATACAAGTTGGAGCTAAATGGGACTTCTAGTTATTATAAATCAAACCTTGCGGTTTGCTTATAAAATGTATGAAGTACACTGGAGGAAACCATACCAAAATCTGCACTCCAGATTCCAGCACTGCATAGGGTATTCAGTATTCTATATGGCGAGACTACCAACTTAAAGTATTTCTTGGCTTTTTGTTATTTTGTCTCTCTTCCTTGTTGTGTGCCTTCTCTCGTTTGAGTTTTATTTTGACTTTGGCTGCCTGACATGCATGTATGTGATGCATGTGTTTACAAACACACAAAACAGCAGCAAACAACCAAACAACGAAACAACGAAACAACGAAGCACTGTCTGAAAGTTTTGGCTGTGTCATTGTCAAGTTGCGTCTGAAGTTTTTGCTTCCTCCACTCGATATCTGCTCTGCTCCCTTTTGTTCATTTTTGGGAGCATACATTTTGCTTTTTTTAACTTTTACTTTTACTTTCAATTTAACTTTCAGCCCTGGCTGGGGAGGACCTTGAAGCAGCAGCCTCTGTCGCTTCGCTAATTCATTGTCGTCACTCATACGCCATGTGCGCCCATTCGAAAAAGGAACCTGCTCAATGATATCCCGAAAAGTAGGAGAACGAGAAGTCAAGCTGCTCTTCGGAGTCGTTCATTTGTGTCAATAAAGCAGAAATTAATTGAAATCTCTTTTTTGTGCTACTGTTTTTGCTCTGGCTGACTGCCAGCCAATCATCAATTTAACTGTCGTTTCCTCCGGACTTGCTCTTGCCTTTGCCATTTCCTTAGGGTCCTGCACTTTTGCCTACGAGCATACATATTGACGAAATGCTGATGCGACTGCTTGTATCGGTTTATTGACATTTCTCCACTCTAGACTCTAGAGTGACATTTAAAGCGTCTGCTCGATAATAAATCACATTGTCACATGCCGCCGTGGTGTGCTTCCAAAGTTCTAGCCCCAAAAAAGCATATGACAGACACACAACACTCTGACAGGACAGCACGTTCTATGGATTGTGTGTCGGAAATTACAAATATTTTATGTATATGAAATTTTCCTCAAGTTGTTTGTTAACAAAAAAGTTCTCTCTCTGGCTCTGGATCTGGCTCTGTCTCTGTCAGTTTTGGGGGTGCGATAATGGCACATGTGTGGCATCCACATGGGATTTCAATTTTGTAACATTTTATGCTTCAGCCAGGGCATAAATCAATAAATTGAAGTCGGTAAACAGACAGCCCAGAGCTGGGGGACCGGGACCACTGAAAATTCTACGGAACCGAAACGGGAGCTGCATCGGTGGCAGCTGGTACGAGTGCTCACTTGCTGGACAACTTTTTTCTTCACACAATACTTTTCATGGCTGCAATCGCACATATTCTCTTTCATGGGTTTTAATGAAAAAAATTACCAAACATTGTGCTCTTCCGAAGCGGCTTAACTTTTGCTGTTCAGCAAGGGGAGGGTCCTGCCCCACACTGCTCTCCCGTCTCTCTATAGAGGAAACAGCTGATAAATTATGCAGCATTTTGAAATTGAATTTCAAAGTCAGCCACTAACTCATTTCGAGAGCATACCGGGAGGCTTGGCTTCAATCCGAGTCCAACAAATTGTTATTTATGTTATCCTTTCCGCCCGCAGTACCCGCAGCACCCACAACACTCTTCATCCATCATTCTTTGGGCTCTCTAGTAAATTTGACTGCAATTAGATTTGCATACATTTCCATAAAACACTCACATACAGATAGAGAGACGGAAACGGAAAAGGAAATGGAAAAGAAGGTCCTAAAATGTCACACACACGTTTCTGTTTATGTTTATGTTAATGCGATCCCTTGAGTGTACCCAAATACTGTTTAGATAGGAGGATGCGTGGTGGCAGATGGTATGTGCTTACCTCTTGACCTGCGGTAGGAGTATCTGGGCGGTGTGCTTGAATGCCTCCACGCAGGTGCGACGCAGCTTGCGTATCTTCTCGCGCAGTTCGGGGCAATCCTTGGCCTGCCCCACGTGTATCAGCATATCGCGAAACAGTGCCACATGGCTGTTGATCTCCACGATGAGCTGAAAGTACACCAGTCAGTATATATCATCAGTATATAAAGCCATCTAGCCATAGAGCCAGGGTCAACGACAGCCAACTGATGCTTAATTTATGCCAAAGCTCTCTATTAGACCAGGCATATAACACATTACATATTTTAATTTATGCAGAGCCAACAGGCTCCGGGAACCCTCTTTTGCACAACCGCAGGCAGTAGCCTATTTGTTCAGGCCCCGGCCCCGGCTGCTCGTTCAGCCAAAGAAAATTTCTGGGACTTTTCCCAGCCAGATAAAACTGAAGCGGCGGCTGCTGCTGGTGCTTTTGCTGTCGTTTTTGTTGCTGCCCTTTTTACGGCTCATTGCCGAAACGGAGGCGGCAAATGAATCGGGCAATCGAGCCTTAATTCCTTTGCCTTTGCCTGCGGCCAAATCGGGCTCATAAAAATTAAAATGCCCGGCAATGCAAGGATTATTATGGCTCCCTTTTACTGCTCCTAGGGTTGGTTAGCCTTCTCATGGATCTGTATGAGAAGGGTAGAGCTGTTGCTGAAAAGTGTATTAAGTCAATTATTATTGACTACAGACTATACTCTGGGCACTAACAAAGGGTATTGGCTTGTCTTTAAACAAATTTTGAGTACTTGCGAAATGTTGATAGGTTCTGGTATAGAATATTGGAGTAGGAGTTCCTTGTAATGGGAAATGTTTATGTTTGGGATATTTTTCAGTTTCAGATAAACTTTTCTAAGCATTATCCCTTTTTCAAGCTGTAGGTCCTATTATTTAATTCCAATTAAGCGTAATCAATCCGAGTTTATCAATCAGCAACAGTATTTCCTATGGCAGCTCTATTTTAATTAAATTTTCTTTTGCTACCTCCGCCAAGTTAATTTTAAGTCAGTCATAGGCCTAATTTTCCGCATTACTCACACAAATCCAATGCCAATCTCCCCCCCCCCCCCCCCCCCCCCCCCCCCCCCCCCAAACACACACACACACGTGTGTGCGTGCCACGCCCACATATATTTTAAGCAGCACGTTTAAATATTAATGGTTGACTCTGGCAACCTCATTTTCCACGTAGCAGTACGGCCCACCTCCTCTCTATATCTGGTCGGGCACTTCATTTAAAACGCGGCGTATGCGTAATTTTAATAATCCTCGAACGCCTGAAACGCCCACACTGCGAATGCAAAGTGAATTCTGTGGCTTGACTCAATTTGGGGCCAACAGCTGTGTGCGATTTCTGGAAGGGAGGATTGGGAGATTGAGAGGATTTACAGCTTTATGAAATATATGCATGATTAGTCATATTGATGGCATTGGCTTGACAATGCCGAAAGAAGGAGGATGGACCGTGCCGTGACAGTGCCGGAGCCAGATCTGGAGCCGCATCCGGAGCCAGAGGCAGTGTCAGAGGCAGCACTTAACCAAATTGCTTATTGAAAGTGCTGCCAGTACGATATTTCCTCAAAACTTTTCTAAGCTGGGGCGGATCTTATGGGCGGGGCCATGGCTTTGTAATCATTCCCAAAGCAGGGGCATAGGCAAAACTTTTCCACCATCAGCTGTTGCCTGTGCGTCAAAATTTATTGGATTGATTGTTTTTTCAGTGGGTCAGGATTTTTGGGTGGATCCGATTTGAACTTGTTCAATATTGACAGACGAAATGCGGCTATATTGTAAGTTTATGTTGAGGAGAGTCTATTCCAGTAAACTCAATGAAAAAGTTCATCTCAAAGCCTGTGGAGGGTTTGGTAATGGAGGACATTAGTGAAGCTTCATTCCACCTAATGAAGGACTTCACTTATAATTCCAATAAAGTCCTCTGCAAAAGGAATCTTTGCCATATTTCATCCACAACTTTAATAAGCCCTGGCTCAAGGAGTTCCAGCAGTGATGTTTGTCTCTGTTGTCTGTCCTAATTATTTGGTTTTTTTTTCAGCCACCTGAGAGCCAAGGCCACTGAGGGCCGCTGGCTCATAAAACATATAACACTAGTAAAGCCAGCCACAAACACACACGCACAAACACCTCAATATACATAGGTGTAAGCACATAAAAGCCACACGCATAAATTTTATATGACGCTCAAATCTCGGCTGAGATAAAGACACAACCAAAACCGAGTTGGGGAAACCAGAATTGCAAAAAGTTCATGCAGCACATGCAAATCCCAGATGTAAACGCTTGTCGTCTTTGGTCCCGGCATAAAAAGGGACACCAGAGTGCGCCCAACGAGCAGTGCTAAACCAGAGCACAAAACCTGTAAGAAGGCGATAGTTCGTAATGCGACCATCAGGTACCTGGTACTCGGCAACATCCCCGAAGAGATTGTTTTCTTTAATCTAACTTTAACATTCATTGGATCATGACTACAGCTATGTATATAGGCAGACTATAGCTCTACATACAGTCGATCCATCCTTAAAGAGAATACCATTTGTTAGTGGGTAAATGATCGGGTTGACTTTCACCAAAAATATAACATACCCGTGTCTTCCCCAGCACTGGGTATAAAAGACCCCAGAAAATTTCTGAAATTACCTGGCTCGTTCCACAAAAACACACCTTTGGACATACACCTAAGAGAACATACGGCTGCCATTCATATAAGTCCGAGGGAAATTCAATTCCCACAGCGTTTTTCTGCCGCGTTATTTGGTTTCTCGCTGTCCAGTAATAAGCGCCGTGCCGAGGCCTTAATGGAACCGTCAGCTGAAATGTGTGCCACAAAAGATGTACATCCCCGTAATGAAGGTACATACTACTCGTGCTCGTGTGTGTATAATGATGGGGCAGCGTGGAGGGGGTACATGCATATTCATGAATTATTCTTTTTCATCTGGTTGTACGAGTAGTATATTCCATGGAACCACTTTGAACTACTTTTGCGTCAACAGTTGAGGCGGAAAATTGAAAAACAGCTGCCGGCGCTTGCCCGCTGCGCCTGCAACAAAAAGCTCCGGAGCTGCATGCGTGCTACGTGCCACATGCCACAATCCATGTGCTACGTGCTGGCTGTGGCAGGGAAAACTCACTCCCGCGCCCTGCCACCAAAAGAAAGTGTAAATCAGCAAAAACGCAAATGCCACAATGCCAAGACAAAGACAGCCCCCAGCGGTTTGAGTTCGGGGAAATGATATGAGATGAGATGGGATGTCAGTCCTCATACTCATGTTCATACTCATACTTATACTCGTACTCGTACCCGTACTCATCTTTGCCCCAGAGAGGGGGAGGGAGAAAGCTAACACACAAATACACAAAAGAAAACGACGACGAGTAAAACTGAATCTAGACAAAGTGAAAGCGGAAATTAAAATTGCAATACAAAAGAGAGGAACCGACAGAGACAAAAACAGACAGCGTTTGTAACGAAGTGATTGTGTGGGCATGTCCACATGTCAGTATGTATAAGACAGACAGAGAGAGAGAGTCCTTTGGATGCTCGCACATTGAAGAATGCATTTTGCCCAGAGCCAAAACAGCAATGTGACAATGGCCAGAACGATTACAGTGCGTCGCATAAACATGAGACTAGTCTGAGAATATGAGAACTCATACATACATAACATATGTATATGATAACAAAACTCTGGCTTTATATTCCTGATTCTCAAATTAGTGTTAAAAATGTCTCAGCTCACGGTATAGATTATTATTTACACACTTTTTCCATTTTTAGGGACATGGTCCGGTCCAAATGAAACTCTGTAATAGACAGCGTTGCGTAAATGCAAATGAAAAGTGGCAGCTTAGATTATGAGAGTCCTTCTTAGTCTGCACAGGGCCAGCAGATGTGCCACGCCCAGCTGATATTCCATTCCAGTTAATAAATAACACGCACCATTTGCAACACGAGCTGCAAAAACTTTGATAACGGCTTGTTGCTAATGCGCTTTTCACATCGCCCAACTGTGAATGTACAGGGACACCCACAGACACTTACAGATACACTCACTCACACACAGAGACGGAGACAGAGACTGGGAGAGCATTCCCCAGTACAGGGACAGGGGCTAGAACTAACAAAGTGCAATGGCAAAACGCATTAGGCAGCGAACCAACAAGTTGAACTGTAGAATAATTACAATCGAACTGGCAGGAGGCCCCAGGAAGCAGCCAACTAGCCAACTGTCCATTCAACAGTCGACAGGCAGCCGGTAGCTGGCAGCAGAACCCAAGTCCCCATTACCCAAAACCCCCTCAAAGTCGAACAAACACTGGAGGCTAGCCGAAGCACAAGATACCCTTGCCGAAGCACGGCTCTTATGGCAGTACGAGCCTGCCTCACACCATTCTAATCATCTTGAAAAATGCACAATACCCTCTTCAAGGGCACAACAAAGGTTCGTTACAGCGTTTCGAAATCGGTTGTAGCAGCTCTAAGGCAGCCTGAATGCAACATGGGGCAGCTAGCAACAATACAACACAATGCCGCAGCTGTCCCACCCACATGGCCAATATCGAATGGTCAACTGTGTCTGGCAGCAATCGCCAGGCAAAACACCTATCCCATTCTACTGGCCACATTCTAGTTGGTACACTTCCCTCATTCTACTAGCCACATTCTAGTGGGGGGAAAGAAACAACAATAAAAGAAGAGAAGTGTACCGAACAACCATTGGATCTCATGTGGTAAAACGGTGGCGTTAACAGGGGGGCACCACCTACCTCGACTCTCGCTGCCGCAGAAAGCAATTTGGATTGGGCCAACTGTTATGGTCGGATCACACACAGGACTTTGGGGTCCTGCCTCAGAGTAATCGAATGGCAGTGGAAATTATTTTTAAATTCCTTTAAGTTCTTGGAAGTATTTGCTACAAAAATCAAATTGTTGCACCAGCTAAGGAAAAAAGCAAACTCATTTCTTTGGAGCAAATCTAAATTTCTTCCAAATCTGAAATAATTAAACCTTTAACTTTTTTAGCATGTGTATGTACAGATGTTGTCCGTGTATTATCTTGTATATCCAAGTTCTTGGAATAATAGCTAATGTTTTTCAAAATGTTTCCTACTTGAAAATAATCAAAGGCAATAGCGCCTTATTCGAAAACCATTTCCATTTCCCGGGCAAACTCCTATCAAAGTAACAATTTCATTGGCCATTTGGGGCATTTGCGTGAGTGATAACAAGAACTTGTAAGCCGCAAAATCGATAAGATGTTCGCCTAGACCCAAGTCCGAATCTTAGTTCCCTGCCTCTGTTCGGAGACGAATGGACGGATACGCACTCAATAGCCGGGGATAACGATGATGAGATTGGTTGGAGTGGCGCATGGCGGATGGCTAGTGGGGGTGTCCTGCTCAGTTTACATTATCAATCAAGCTGACTGACAATCAGGCGGGGGGAGCAGCTTAGCGGATACCTTTCCACTATATTGAGAGTGACATGACCCGGACCAACAAAAGTCACGAATGTTAATGTGTGCGTGTGGACCTTGAACACGATCCTTTGTTTGCCGAAGGCCTTCTAGCCTGTTCTGTGGCTCCCCTTCCTTCCAGAAAGGGGAAGCCCACATTCATTTGCCCTTAGGATGAGACAAATGTTCGCCGGTAAAGTTAAGTACAAGTTTTCAGTTTTTATTGTGGTCTGGCTGCCATCCCCGAAAAAAGACAGAAGAGTCGACCAATAGTCTGCACAAACATGCCATACATTATTTCAAAATTAATGAAGATGTATTGGCGGCACAGAGAGAGCTCATTTAATGAAAATTGGTTGTAGTTCCTATGGCACGCACGGACGCACGGACACACGCACTGCCCACCTCCCACTGGACCATGGTAAACTGCAGTGGCCATTCCCAAAATTATTATTTCCACTCTAGGCCAAGACAGCCAGCGATTTTTCTTAACAGCCACACTGCCAGCAGCGCTCGTCACTCTGGGCTCTCTCACGTTCCCCTTTCGTCCTGGGTTTTTGAAAAGCAAAAACATGTTGGCAGTGGCTTGAGTGGTGTGGGTTTGGGCGTGAAAGAGGAGCTGCCTCATATAAAAGTGCTTCATTACTTTGCGCAACAGCTCGCGAGAATATAATGAATGGCAATAAACGTGTTTCACATTTTCCTTTTCGCTGCCAGTCCACCCGTTGAGCCCTCCCACTGCCCTCTCGTTTTTCACAGCCACATTTTTCATTTTCCAGCTAGACAACTTTTGTGTATGGTCAAGAGCGCCTCGTTTTAAATGGCAGTGGGAGGGTTGGGTGCTTTTCATTTTCTTACCCCTGCAATCCTTTCAATAACACTCATCATCTGTTAAGCCCCATCTGTTCTTTGTGAGCCAGCTTCCTTCGTATGCATGACGGATGCTTGTTATACTCTGGAAACGTAGAGTGAAGGGGTCGACTCTGAGAGCTAGAGTAACTTTCGTTGGTTGCAGATTCAAATTGATTTCAATTGAAAGTCTCTGTGTTAATGTTGGTACTGTTTTTGCTGAAGCGTAATGCATCCTCGAGAAGGGTATCATATAGTCGGGATATCGAAATTATGGATTTGTTTTCTTATGTATGTTGTCCCTTAATCTTGTTATTATTCCTCCGCGGATGCTGCCACGCAGTTGCTTGGAAAAATGGCAGATTTTTCTCAGACCTATCACAGCTTTTACTATCCCATTGCCAGTTGGCCATGTTTAAATTCATTCTGCTGAAATCAGTTAAGGCTACAGCTGGAGGGAATGCAATACGTTTCCTTTCCTACAGGAAACTTTAGGGCAAAGGATTACCGTACTCCTCAAAGCTCCTGATTTTCGATGGGAATCAACATTTGAAATAGAATTCACTTGATTATAGAGAAACATACTATAAAAGCGCGTTGCCAAAGGGTATTTTGAATAAAGTTCAAAACAATATCTTTGATGTAAAATCAATTTCAACATAAACCAGTTCCTTAGAGAGAAGTTTCCAGATCCAGTTTCCAGTTTCCTAGAATCCAACTCCAACACTCACCGTATTTAGATTCGTGATCTTGTCCAATTCCACGGCGGTGCTGCCTCGATGATGGTGCAGATGATGCAAATGGTGTGTTGTCAACATGTTGTTCTTGTTGCGGTTGCTGCCTCCGTTGTTTCTGCTGCTGCTGCAGATGTTGCACGTGCTGTTGGTTGATGCGGGGGCTGATTCTGCTGCCGCCTCTGCTGCATTCAATCGAAAAGTGGCCTTATTTTTAATGCCGACTAACGTCCGATTGGAGCAAATCCATCAAAGCAAGCCGCACAACACGCAAATTGCCAATTGCAGCTTGTTGCACTTAGCCGGGACCTCTATTCAAATCACATCACGTGAGCCAATGACCATCTGCGAGTAGAAAACAAATAACATTGAGAGTGAGTTGAGTGAGTGCGCGGTTAAAAGAGATTGGAATCAAATTGCATAACCAATATGGCGGGTAGCAGCCATATATGCCAGCGATATGCGACACGCCACTCGCGACACCGGAACGCATCGACACGCCTTTCCGGCACCTCAGCCACTGGGAATTGGGGGATCGGCATTGGGATTGGGGATTGTGCTGAACCGCCGATTTCCGGTACGTCACTTTGCTACCCTTCGTTCTTCCGATGGATTTTAGTTTTGCATTTTGTTGCCCTGATATCGATTTTTGCTTGGGGACTCGGCATCGCAATAGAGCCAACAATCGCACCGGATGCGACAGTTGGCAGCAGAACCGCTTTTGGCATTTTTAGGTGTTAGCACTTCATTGGCCTTTGAGCACCTGAATTGGCTGCTACGTGGCCACAAGTTTTGCGACCAGCTTCCGGTTGCTTCCATTCACCTCTCATCCATTTTCACTAACTGCATCCTGACCTTCTTTCCCTTTTGATCGAAATGTCAAACTAAAAGTCAAGCGAAATGAAATTAGATTCCACTCTTCCTGTTGCACTGTGCAGGTAAAACCAATGAGGTCTGTTTAAGCTTTCTTTCCTCTATTTATTTCCAGGCAAACCTCTCAACTGCAAGCCTAACCTTTCCCATGACACTGGCTTTCATGTATAACGATGAAATTACATTAAAAGTAAAACAACAGCAACAGCCGGAGCTTGAACATTACTGTTCAAGCTGCCTGAACAACGTCAGGCAGGAAAGCAAGGCAAACAAATGATTCAGGCTAGGACCGGCGGTAAACTTCCTATTAGCCCTGCCAGAGATGAAGATACAAGACTGCAGTCCGTGCTTTATTTGCAACCAGTCAAGTCGCTCAATTTAGCAACAGAAATAGCCATGAATATTCCCTGCAGTGAGCTCGAAGGAAAGGTTTCCATAAATTCACTCAGAATCAAATTTGAATTGTTATGAAAAAAGAAGAGAATTTAAATTCAATCATCGAATTAACTTTCATTAAAATATTTCCCACTTTTGGCTGCATTTCAAATATCTGTAGAGGAAGAACGTTGAAATGTTTTAAAGTGCAGAGGGCATTTAGTTTGATGTTGAAACCTTTGTTGGAAATTAAGTTATTTGTTATTCATAAGTATTTAAAGGCTTCGCAGCTGTTATCCTGATTTTAAATATAGGGCCTACCATATACCCAATAAAATGTTCTTTTTCTTGTATATAAAATATTTGTCAATGTTCCAATTTACCAATTTCATCACAGATTCTAGTAGATTATTCTGTGATTATCCCATACCTCATCAAATGGTTATTAACAGTGTTTACTGTTTAGAATCAATAAAAATTAATTTCCTGTTTGCAAATTAAATTTAAGCCAAAAGCGAGGATTCTCCATCATTAAGTTCACAGTTTTCATATTTTCTGGAAACATTTTGTCGAATGCCCTTGCCTCACAAATGTGGGTATTAGCAACCTGTAAGCCAACTAAAAGTATCTCCGGCCTGCGTACTGCCAACTGCAACAGATAAGGGCAATAGACGTGTGCGTGTATATGTTGGCTTAGAGTCACATTTTCCGGCAAAGGATACTCATTGTTTGGCTTTGGCCGTAGCTGTGGCAGGAGGAGATGGAAAGCCGCGTGCTCGGCATGGAAATGTGCCTCATTAAGTCGCGGGACGCGTTGGAAAATATGCCGCGAAAGGATTAAGCGACGATGCTGCCGACGAAATGGCGCCACGACTATTAAAGGATTTCTGCTCCTTTTCCTCTACCTCGTTTCCATTCCGGTTTGCCACCGTTCTCGGCGACCGTTAAGTGTAATTAAAAAACTTAAATAAAAAAAAAAATTTAAATGCGTTGCTTCTTTGCATTTACGAAACATTAATGCGAATCTGATGCAGATGGAAGTTCTGTTAAATTGTGTGTGTTTCAAGAGAGTGTCTTTCTTCCGATTTAAATCAATTTCAATGGCAGACACGAGGCGTATACGTATACAATTGAGCCCCCAGCTACAGCGTGTGGCAAAAGTTTATAATGAGAATTGTGGGACTGTGACTCTGTCTCGGATTGTGATTCTGATTCCGATCCTGAATACGAGGCATACATTATTCATATGTAAAATACATAACAGCAAAATGCCATAATCATGTAAAATAAAACCATTCTTAATGGCAGCAAGCCTGCAAATGCGAGTGCATGTTGCCACCGACTGGGAATTAGCCTCTGTCTGGGTCCCAGGTCCGGGTTCAGGACTGAGACTGGGCCAGACATGGCAGAAACTCATTAGCTTTATTACACCCATGCAATATATAAAGCTGGGGCGGGAACATACCAACAGAGATACAGACAGTCAGACAGTCAGCCAGTCGGTAGGAGGCAGCCTGAGCCACAGGACCGGAAATGCCATGGCATTGGTATTAACTATTCATGTCTGTACACCCACATTCATATTCACATTCTGGCATAAAAGACATTTGAATAATTTTGACAACTGTGTGATTAATTCAAACATTTTGGCAACTTACGCCCTCATTTTTTATATACCAACAACGACAGCAAATTAGCACTTCATAAAAAGAAAGTGGGTGAAACATTCATGGCCTCTTTATCCATATGATACTCGTACGATTATGTGGGTGTGGGACAAACTTTTAGAGAGCAAAAGCTGGAAAACTGTTAAGAAGTTTATTCCAAAGCTTGTTCTTTGCAAGGAGTAGAATGGAAGTATGAAAGACAAACCACTTAAGTGATTTTGGTACAAACCAAATTAAAAATAAAATGATAATTACAATTTTGATAAGGCCCGAATCATTTTGTACTGAAAAAATACTTGATTTCATGAAAATTTAAAATTCGTTCACGATATGCCATAGTTTTCTATAGGGAACCCACTATCCATGCTCCAAATTCAAAGGGTTGACCAAAAACTAAAGTCAGCACCGCACAAGTGACAAATTCTACATTCTACGTTCCAATACATACATACTCTCCATGTGCTAGTCATGCTTCCTAGAGGAAGTTAACCTCTTTCAACCGGACAGGATTCTATTCAAAATAGTCACAATGGCTGTCTGATTGGGGGCCTTGAGCGATTAAAGGCCCTGACAAAGTGCAATTTATGGCACTTGGAACACTTAAAGCAAATGCTTTTACTTTTTGTGCTAAGCAAAAAAGACCACAGACCAAAATATGAAACAAAAATTCAGGCAAAAATGGCTGTGGCTATGGCAGTGGCAGAAGAGTGCACAGAGCAAATAAAACCTACGATATAAAAGAGTCGCATGCCGGAAACGGCAAACGACAGACGCCAGGGTGGAACCGCGGCAGGGGCACGGTCGGCCTAATGCCAATGCCAACACCGGATGCGGATGTGTGACACATGGCCAAAGGGGCGTCCACATCGTCCTCCTCCGTCCCTACATCTGACTAGCGACATACGCACAAAGTCATTGTCGTTGGCTTTAAGTAGACGACTTTATTAAGCCGAGGACACCCAGAAGCATCTCCCAAGTATGCAATGCGAAACAAAATATAACGGCAAACAATTTTAGACAGTAATAAAATATGTTACTATGGGTTAAACAATAAAGAGATTAGAATACAAATTTTCATACAAACTGGGTTCACTTAAACAGTCCATAGTATGTCCTCGGGGTCTTGGTGTTCTAGGAGAAAATTAATCGTTTAGGAAACTTCTAGAACTCTGTTAAAATCTTACAGGTAAAACCGTTTCAAGAAAATTGTAGTTTTAGATTAGATACGGATGGATAAATACTAGGTTACAGCTTTCCTTTAGTTCATTTATAGATCTTTAAACATTCTTTACATTTGCTTCTTACTTTGATTCTTATACTTCAAATCACAAATATTGTATCCAAAATGTTCGTTGTTTTTCCCACTGTTCATTGGTTTGTGCGAAAAGAACAAACAGCATAATAGGCTGGCAGGACACCTGGGCACGTGTTGGCCTTGCCCCCGAACTAGGTCTGGCATAAAATTAAGCTCCAAGTGCGACATCGTCGTCGTCGTCGCCGTCGTCACCGTCTGCCAGATTCTGAGGCTTAAGCAGAGGTCGTTTATAGCAGGGCCACAATTTGTTGCTTTTTGATATTTATTTGCAAGAGAAGCATGTGAAACGAAGAACAGGAACAGGACATAAATCAAAAGCGCAATTCACGAACAAGTGAAGTAGCGGGAAAGGCCAAAGGAAAAGCCGCAGCGGAAAAGGGAAACTGCGGCAACAATGCGGACCTGCCATTCAGGTGCGGAGAGCGCGACTTACAACTTTTATTTATGGCACTGCCAGAGGGAAAAGAGTTCAGAAAGCCAACGCACCAAAAGAAAGTTTCAAGTCTAAGGAGAGGTATGCCCCAATAAGTATGCAATGGCTCCAGATGTATCAATTTCACTTCGAGGACCTTATAATTTCCAACTAGTTCTAGCTGTTGCTCTCCCCAATCAGTTTACATGGACGATAACCTACCTGTAATTAATTCATTGAAACATGGACGACATTTACTCCTCTGACGAGAGCGTCGACTCTTATGAGCCAGAGGATGTGATCGTCGAACTGTCCAGCGATGACACCGGCGATGACCTCAGTGCCCGTGACGAATCATGCGAAATCGGCAGCGATGTGAGTAGCGTGTACTTATTATTAAATGATAATAAAACGAATTTTTTTCGCAGATTGTCAGCAAGGAGAATCTTCTTAAATTTGTCAAAGCCATCGACCCAATGTCCTCAATGGATGATCACGCTTTGGATCTGTTTGCCAAAATGGCTGATAACTTTGTGGAGGATGTCTGCGAAAAGATGGTCAAGGCGTGCCTCAACCCTTATCAGCAGATAAGCAAAGATGTCTTGGAGCGCACCCTCGACCGGGAATACAACATAAAGGTTCCCAAAAAATCTTCTCAACAGTCCAAATCTAAACATTAAAATTGTAAAAATCATAAAATAAAAGCTAATTTTTATGACTCCATAAACAAGATTATTGCCAGCATTTTTAAACACACTTTCCAGGAAAATTATTAGTCAATCCATTTAAATAGGCTGTGCAGAGATAATTTTGTGTGTTCCTTGAAGAAATCATTACCTGACTACATAACATTTTAAATGTTGCCCATAAATTCAGGTGACCAGCCATGCCCTTCTAAAGCTTTCAAATTGAATAGTCTAAAATGATTAAGTAATTAATAAACTCAATAACCGCTGTCAAGACCACAGAAAGGCTTTTAATGCTGCTTTTCGACACCTACAAAACGTTCATCGTCTTGGCCACGCTTGGCCGCACTCTCGAGATTCGCCTTTCAACCGAGAATTACTCGACATAAACTTAAAGGGCCATAAAAATGACAGGGCCCAAAATGCTCCCATTTACACACATGAACAAGTAACTGGGGGTTTTATTCCACTTTTTTCTTTAAAAAAGAGCAGACTAAGACGAAAATTTAGAGCACCATTTTTCAGTGATTTTCTGGTGCTGCATAACGAATTTTTTGTTGCCCATGGCCAAAGGCACATTGTGTGTGCATGAAAGGAGAGGCATTTTTCTCTTCCTTTGCTCGCTCATTCATACAAAAACTATTATTCTGGAGACTTGCACACATATTTTTGTATGCACGATCTGATCTGTGTATGTTTAAATAATTGTGCAAGCGTTTGACTATAGTTTATATTCTATTTGCTTAAAGGATAGAATGGAATATCTGGAATTGCAGAACTTTTTGGATACAAGGTAGTCTTCTTCACAGCTGTTTATTCTTTTCTCTCCATTTTCCTTACACTCTTACGAAATAAACATACAGATATGGCGCACTCGAAATGTAAACATTGAATTCGGATCAACCCTCGCTGGCAGCCATAAACATTCGCAATCATAATCCAGGAACGACACATTGGGGCGCATTTAAACCGATTTCATATTGGATCAGGAAGCACCTCAGTATGTGTGATGTGTGGGGGGTAATATCTCTGAGTGTTCTACCAGTACAGAAGCCACAAGAGGAGTGGAAATTCGCTTGGCGTATGTCATGGCACGCACGCACTCAGAGAGATCCCAGAGCCGTGGAGGACTCGTTAAGGGAGCAGTTCCTGCTCCTGCTCCTCTGGGGCGAAATTATAATGAATTTGTCGTTCATACAATTCGAATGCGTGACGACTCGACACGGACCCAGACCCAGACACAGACCTCCAGCATACAGCAGAAAGCCACGCCCCCTCCATCTCGGCCAGATTTGGCTTAGTTTCGACGATGAATCCGGGGAGATAAGCAGTTAAGTGACTTTGTCCTGACATGGCCCTTGGGCTGTTGTCGACATCGGAATCGTGTGCATGAAATAAATACTATATCTTGTGGCTGTTGTTGTTGTGTATTGGCAAATAAATTGAATTAAAGTGAAATCAGTTGCCGTTGGCCGTAATAAATTAATGAAAATGCCAGACCAGTCGGGACAGCCCGAGTCGCGTCGGAAAAACCAGCAGAAGGAAAAACAAAATTGAGAAATCAGCATAAATCAAAGGGAGTTCGAGTGTGTATAAACAGCCAATGATAGCCAATGATTATAGCAGCCGTCTGACCAAACTTTCGTCTCCAAAAAGTTGCAAATGAATTTTGATTAAGCCTCATAATGTGTATTTAAAGATATCCCTTCGGGTTGTCTTTCGGATACTCCTTAACCAGCTGACTGCAGCTATCCGGAGCAGCTTGTGTAGCTTAAAAGTTTACAAGCCAAAATCTGTTTTAATTAAATTCAAGTGTTGTGCGCTGCCCTGCGACCTTTTCTGCATGTCAAACGAGCGGCAAAAGGAAACTTCCTTCTACTCGTATACGTTCTTTTTCGCTTTGTGCGAGTCATTTTCAAAGAAATTCACAAGTTATTCATTTTCGCAGGGGTCGGTCGGCGCTGAGGCCGATGCCGTTGCTGAGGGGGATGGGGCTTCGGTGAAAAGTTGCGTTGAGTGATATGTTACCAAAGAGTTGTCGTTGCTTTTGGTCAGGGATTCAGGATCCTTGCAATCCGAAGCTGGAAATGAAGATGAAGCGGAATCCGGACCAGACTAAAAAGAGCAATCAATGCAAGTTGATTACCATTTCGGGGAAGTTTCCCAACTCATTTTTCGATGAATCAAGTTAATGAAATAAGTGAATTGGAAAACTTTTCAAGGAAAGTAAATTGAGGATACGCGTATTCTGATGTACTTTTAGAAACTTGATTCTTTGACTGTCGAAATGGATTATTTAAGAGTGTGTTGCAATTAAAAATACTGGAATCCGTTTGAGAATGCATTTAAATCCATTGTAAGAACGATTTGCACTCGTAATTTACTTCGGAAAGACGATGTCTTAGCACAAATATAAATAATTATCTAACTAGGAGTACAATTTTGTATAAGCTCATAGTTTACTTTAAGACCATACTTTCCTAAAAGGCAATAAGCTCTTAAGTAAATTAAAACTTGTCCATTTGAATGCAAATTAAGAGACAATCAAATGAAGAAGCAGAACTTTGCCCAACTCAAAGCCAATGGTGTCTAAACGTCTGTACTAGTGGTCTATATGGAAATGCACAGCTGATATATATAAATGCCATATAATAAGATATATGTATGTATATATAGTAGGTCCTGCCTTTCGTGAGTCTTATGTTCCCTTAAGACTATTACACTCCTTGTCCCATTTTTTATGCCTCAGCTTTCGATTTCCCAGCATATTACCGCATTACTGGGACATGTTTGAGCACTTTTCATAAGTTTGTCACGTTCAATTGGCTCCTCCCACACCTTCGGCTCCTACGATGTCGAGTATTTAGTTTAATGCCGTGCCATAAACCTGATGTATGCATAAAATGAGTTTTAAATCAAAATCCAGAGCACTTTGGACTGTCAATCTCTGGAGTTTTTGAAATTATTCACAAATCAGTTTTTATGGCCTCGATGGGAAATACATCCGGTTGCCAGAAAGGCGGAAGGGAACGCCCGCAACCTTGTCGTAAAGAAAATTTCTTACCAATTTATTTATGCGGTAGGATGGAGAGGATGGTCTAACACTCAAGAACATCCTGCACATCAAAATCGAGTCTAACATGAATAAAATTATGATAAATACACATTTAATGCGGCAGACTTTTCATGGCAAAATGCGGCTTGGAAATTTATTAAATCTAATTGCATTGCAATGTGCAATTGCGGCAAATTGTCAGCTGTCACGGAAATTGAAGTGTTTGCGTAGCAAATCAGGGACAGAAACAAAATGAATGCGGCTCCCTGGCAATAACAGTAACCCTATTACGGCTAAGTGCCATTACAGGCATTGCCAAGAAAAATTACCTTCATGTGAGCGCACTGTGGGAGGTTTTTCATCCATTTACTCTACGTGCACGTGGAATGGAAAATAGAGTATTTGTTTGTGCAAAAGCCCATTGTGATCATATTTTTAACAATATACCGTTTCTCGATCGATCTTTCGTAACATATACGCTTGGATATTATTCTTCTAATTAGTAAATATATGTATCTATAACTTTATGATCATATGGCGTGTTCTTAGATTGAAGGACACTAAATCTTTGAAATTCATATGTCAACAATTGCGAGCACATTGCAATGGTATCCGTTCCACTGTGCATACTACTACTTGTGTTTGCATTTGCATTTCATTAAAACACAGGCAGGTAAACAAGTTGCCGCCCAGGGCACTCACTCATTCAGTCACTCATTCCGTCAGTCATTCCGCGCGTCTCCACCGCATTCGGTTCGGGGCCGCAAGTATGACGGATGAGGACTACTGGGAGACCGCCTTGTTGTTTCAGTTGGTGGCTTCACGGCTGGCATTGAGTGCCGCCAACGTCGACACCAAGTGCCAAATGACAGCAGAGCCCCAGCAGAATCTCGGCGCGAAACAGAGGTGAAAGTTAAGGTGAAAGGTAACGGTAAAAGCCAAACCAAGGCAAGTGCACTGCAAGTGCACGTGAGTGGGTTCCCAATGAATGGCGCCGCAATGATTGCTACAAACGTGACACGCCCCGAGCTTTATAATAAGTATACGGCCAGTGGCTGTGTTGTCCAAAAGAATGTTTCAATTAGTTTATGTTACGGCCGAGTAAACACGGTAAAAGTGCGTGCAAACAAACGTGGACGTGGAGAGAAAAAACGAACCAAACGAAAGAATACAAATACAAAAGATAATGACGCCATGTTCATGGACAAACAATAAAAGCGTCAGGCAAATTAGGGGGCCAAATCGGGCGATCATACCCTAGCCAGTCCCCGTCCCGACTAGACCAGGCCGACTCCGAGTCCCTGTATCCGCGTCCCGGCCAATCAACAAACAAACTGTCACTTGTCACAAGCGCCTCATACGGCCCACAGGGAGGTTGGGGCCGCAGGCATCTGGTCAGATAATTTTCTTTGTTTTGCGGTAAATATTTTCATTTATTTTTTGAACACCCTTACGGAGAGTGTCAGGACTTCGACAATGCGTTTAAGGTGTTCATGAAATCTTTCCATACATTTTTGAACATTCAGTTTTGTGTATAGCGTCCGTTAAATCAGCCTATTAGAAAATTATCGAAAACTTCTGCGCTCAAAAATAGCCCTTCTTTTTTGTTTTTGTTTGAAGCTGAAGATTGAAAGGTAATGGGAGAAGTGGGTGTTCGGCTTGTCAGCTATTTTCTGCTTATTTTATCACGTTTTACGCGCGATCTTTTCCTATATATAGAAGCTCAGACAGGTAGCAGTATGCAAATCAAACAGACAATCGAGAGGCCTCTCACCATCTGTACTTCCTGTTCTACGTGGAGAGGAAATGGCGTTGACAAACGGTGAGCCAAATATGAACAGGAAGCGGAATAAAAGCCCCAGGCACCCATCAAAACTGTTTTCACGTGCATCCCGTGCCCGTGGGAAATTGAAGCAAAAAAATTCTCTAATGCAATTCGCCCCTGAATTCCGGAGTATTCCAACTCGAATGTCAG